CAAGTTCCGGGCAAGAAGTATTCTCAATTAGTAATTGTAAGTAAATTCGGTTATCAAGAATGATGCAGTTTATCGCCATGTTTTCACTCGCGTGTTGGAAAAAACGTATTTGAAAGCATATTGTAAGAAAGCTTATATTTTCGCTTCGTCGCTGTCTGTTAAGGTGTTCTGGTGCCTTTGCCTTTGTATCAAAGTTTGTTGGTCAGATTGTCAATCCCCTGGTTGCACAGAAACCAGACAAAGTCAAAGACAAAGCAAAGAAGGAGAAATAATGAAGTGTAAGACATGTAACTATTACTAGAGGATACGGCTAGCCATTATTGATATGTCTGGAATGATTTTGATTATCTAAAAGAAATAATTTTGGATGGGAAGGATTTAAGTATTTTTGAAATACCTTAAAAAGCATAATCAGAGCAATAAAGGGTTGCAAGACGATTCCACTTGTTCATAGCATCGCCACATCTGATTTCTGATGTAAGCACTCAAACAAGGCATGTCAACATCTCTGTGTAGGGTTTCGTTTGAAAAAGGGACATCGGTCTGGGCAAGAAAACACTTTGCTGTATATGCACATGTGAAGATGGATTTAGGACCAATTTCACCAAGGTTGTCAAATCAACAGTCCGTTATTCTCTACCTATAGGGTAACAGTCCGTCAAATACAACGAATGAGCTTCAAGTTCCAATCAACAAATTTTAGCAACCAATAGCTATGAAATGTTGAAAACAAAATACTGTCAAAGTATGAGATGACAGCTTGTCATTGAAACATCACCAGCTTATTGAATATTAAGAAATTACATATAATTCAGTCAAAATTTGAAGAAAAGTTTGATTTTTGAATAAAATTCATGTTTTAATTGCTATTGTTGATTTTTTATTCATGTTTATATTATTTTCTTCAATTGATATGCGATACTGGGTGTTCTTTCCTATAAACCTCTTGCAGATAGCCATTAAGCACCTACTTGATGGCAGGCTCTACCAAAACATATTGCTCGTTTCCAAACATTCATTCATTTACTTGGCGTTCATCAGAACCATTATGGCACCTTAGATTGATATTCCCACAAAACCATTAAGGTTTTTTGATATCCATACATCCATAAATTTGAATATTTTTCGTTGTTCAGGAACTGAATAAACATCCACACTATATTCACAGCGATTAAGAAATTCCCAAATATAAGCCTTAAATCTACCAGCAAACCTAAAACCTGCAAAGAAACTACAAATTTGCCATATTTTTCTTTTTTCACGAGTACACATTCGAGGTTATATTTATATTAGACATTATTTGAATACAGCTGATTATTGCATTTCAAGATTCCCCGAGTGACACATGTGTGGGATCTGTCAACCCTTGGTCGAAGTCACAAAACATATACTCTGAAGAAGGTTTAATTCCATGCTATTCAATGACAACACGGTAACTTGTGTGGTTGTCAGCGGCCATTTTGTGTGGTTGCGACATGGTTGCCAGATTGTGCATTAATATCCCGTTTCAACCCCTGGTCTCAGTGGAGTAAGCTCCGCCAACTGTTGAAATATACTCTACTATGCTTTATAAGACTATTCGTGGAGTTTTTCCCAAAATCGTTGCACAACACTAGAAAAAATGCAAATGAAAATTTAAAATTATTTCCATGACGACACAAAATAGCTCCGTCGGTACCTCGGGTTTACATCTTGACAGTAGGGATGTTCGATACGATCCTATATTTAGAAGTATCAATACATTTCACGAGTATCGTCATCTTTCGATCCGGACTGTGTGAAAAAGAGTAACTGCCATTTGGCTGCGACATTACCTTGCCAAATCAGACATATCGTTCATCATTTTCAAAGAAATTGTACAAAATCTTCAAATTTGTGAAGTTTCACTTCATACGTTGTTACCAGACATGCCCAAATCATCAGTTGCTGCCGTGATATTCATCCCGACCACTGCATCCCCACGGCAGGCGACCTGTATGTTGAATTTGTATTGATAGGACAGCGGGTTATGCTATAAATCATATGTCACAGTTTTTGTGCACTGATTGCAGCAGTTAGATGATACCAAAAATATTTTCAAAAATTGGAGATCTTTCCCATTCCGGATCGAACAATCTACCAAAGATGCTTATAATCATGATACCTAGTAAATTTACATGAAAAATCCGCTGTATGTAGGTATATAAGAGCTTTCTTATATTTGTTCATCAATTTGATGATACAACACATCTACCAAAGATGATCATAATCAGGATAGTAAACTATGACGAAGGTCCACTGTATGTAAGAATTTTCAGATACTTCATTGGCAATTTGACAACAGACCATGATGGTTTTCAAATATTCTTCAAGAAGTGTTATCAGTCTAGCTCCAACTATCATAAGTACTATGTTTGTATTCCTAGTTTAAATTCAAAACCAGCAAATGTAAAAGGTTCATGTCGCACCCTCCATCACGAGACGTGATCGTCGTTAGACTTGACAACCCTGCGAGTGACAGATAGATAACCCCACCAGTGAAAAAGGCAATCATACAATAAACATTAATAGTTTTTATGATTTTTGTACTTAAAAGACATTATTTGTGAGACATTTTTCATATTTTTTTGTCTATGTCCATAGTAATTGCATTATGCATCACGGAGATGTAGGGATTGACACGTCTTACACATATTATCTGTGTTTTAGGATGGAGAGGACAATGTTTTTATTGCTTTGAAGAAATTCATTCACCCGTAAATTAATAAATGATTACTATTATGATGTAAAGGGAGATGAATTGGATGACATGTATTTTATATTCTATTTTCTTGCAAAATACGGACAAATCCACACTATTCAACAGGTATGTAATGATAACAGTATATTGAACTTAAATTTGAGATTGACATGCATTAACAAACGTCCAAATCTGCTGCCAAATTTAAGAGCTAGAAAATCGACATATTATTTGCCGCATTCCCATTGGCTTTGGGGATAACTGATTGTTAAATGTAAATTTATAACACAAATCAAAATGCATGGAAGTTGACCTGTTTTCTCTGTGCAAAAGCATCACGTTGGAATCAACAAGTGGTCTTGTTTATAATACTGTCGAATTTTCACGATTTTATTCAATATTTTAGTAGAAATCACTGATATTCTGAGACCTTTGACAGCTTCTGTCAAATTGCATTTCGATAAGGTATTTTCCCATTGGTCCATAATATTAATGTTGGTGAAATTGGGCCCTAGTTTTATAAAGTCAAATTTGTTTAACCAAACTGAATGTTAATATTCTGCAGGGTGAAGCTGAAGATACTTAATTTGGAATTTTGTTTTCAATGATTGAGAAAGTGTTGACAGGAACGAAAAAACTTTTTATACAAGATTTTTAGGTACTCATGAGACCTACAAGATGAGACCACACGTAAAAAGATCCGACTGATAGCAAAAATGTTATGGCCGAAAAACGAGGCAAAATTCAGGTTTTGGCACTTGTTGGTAATGCGACGATACTTTCACGCAATTACTTGAAATTCTTCAATCATGAACTAAGTTACCAGACCAGAACTGGACCGCCACCTAAATATAAAAAATACTTTTAGTCGTCTTTTTATATTAAGCTTAAGTCAAGACTATACATATAGGCACTAGGTACTATCGAGTCAAGAAGTCGTATCAAGCTTATATCGACAGACAATTCTCCGGAAAATTTTCGTAAGATAGAATGAATGTGAGGCCTTATGGACTCTATCCTACATCTTAATATTTGACTGCCTATTTCTATCTAAATAAGAAATATCATAAGCCCTAAATTTTCATCAAGACACGTTTTCTGTGTATTTTATGCTTTCTGAAATGGATACATTCTATTCAAAGAATTTCTAATATTTTCTTCAAGAATTGTGACAAGTATTAACAGAACAGTCTCACCAGTTTCACTTAATTTATCGTGAGTTAATTAAAATTTTACGATAATATTTGATGCAACTAAGCCTATTTTTATGAAAAACGAGCTGATAATTTAAAAAATTAAAAAGTTGTTCTTTTACTTTAAATGCTACACGTTTCGTAACTACTGTGTATCTAACGAAGCTACAAAGTAATCGTAAACAGTGGTTGATTCGTGATCAACGCGTGATCGGTAGCCATGGCGCTCTGTCGGCCTCTTCCTGATTGGCTTGTAGCGACGAGCCTCCA